TGCTCGCCGCCCTTTTTAATAAAAAAAAGTTATATGATTACATGATTTTAAAAAAAAATCTAGAAATTGCAGAGCAATTTTTTACGTTTGCTACATGGATTCTTTTTAAGCATATGGACGTTCGAAACAGTATCAGTTTTTGTGTCTTGGATTTTGAAGATATTTTCATGCTTAACCAACATTACTGCAATTATCCAAAGAAGCCACAAACATTCTCAGTGATCCTTAACCTAATGCACCTAATTTATCAATTCATGTAAAATTTGTTGAAGCCACAAAAAGTGCAAACGATATTTTCAGTTTTTTTGAGTTTCTGTACGTAAGATGCAGAAGAATATCAAGCTATAAGTAACTTAGATTACGAGGCCAAACTGTGCATTGGATGGGCGCAAAAATTTTGTGTTTGTATGTTCCTGGATTCTAGAGACATTTCTTGTTCCAAAATGTAAGTGGATTTCTTTCACAAAATTTCAATGGATTCCGCGTACAAATACCTGTAACGTAAATTTTGTCGGCACATTGATTTTGTTGCTGATTTTGCAACGAGCGAATATAGGTAGTTGTTCGGATTCCACAAATGTAAGCGGATGCCGCAAATGTAAATTGACTCCGCAAATTTATGCGGATTCCGCTTACAATATGAGGATTTCGCTTACAATTTGCAGAATACTTTTACAATTTGCGGATTCCGCTTGCAATTTGCGGATTCCTTTTACAGTTGGGGATTCCGCGACAGCCTAAGTTTACTAAACACATATATTATTGATTGTTCATGGATTCCACAAACAATTCTTATTTTTGGAGCAATTTTGAGCAATACAGTGTTATAGCTATTTGTCTGTGGAATCAAAAACAGCAGATAAGATTCAAGAAAAAATGCAATTTTGCGGATTTCGGCACAAATTTTTGCCTTTGCGGAATCCGCTTACAATTCACAAAATGCACAGTTTGGCCTCGTAATGTAACTAATGTCAAATGTGGAAATTATGGAAATGAACAAAAAAAGAAAAAAAAATTTGAAATTATAGAAGACGTGGTATAGTGATTGATTGCCGAATTTTTTATAAGGTTGAGAATGATATTTTTATCAGGATGAAAATGATTTGCAAAACAATTAATATGTGAAATGGGGACGTTCGAGTGTCATCAGAACAATATGAGTGCCAAAAATAAAAAAAAATATGTATATGCAGTTTTGGGAATAACTCTGCTGCATTTGCATTCTAATGAATTAGTGTGGCTTTCTCTCCGTTATCACGGGAAAACAAGCTGAAACGGTGTATAGTGCATAACAGAATTGGAGCTAGACACCTGAAAAAAAATTTGAAAAACATGTTCGGCACTCTTGTAAAGTGTAGAAAAAAAGACGGCATTAGAGACCTCAAACGGCACTAGACACCACGAGAAAAGGACGCTAGAAACGGTGTAAAGACAAAATGGCGCTAGAATAGACACCTAAACGTCTGAAAAGGGTTTTTGAAAGTTTTTTTCGGCACTTTTGTTCTGAACCAACTAACTTCACGCACAATTGTTTATTTCGGCCTTGCTACCTGCGCACGTACTAACTTGTTCATTGGCTTTGTTAGAATTTTATTCAAATTACCAATAGTATTGCAACCGCAAAAAGCAAGGGTATTGTAACCTGGCATTAGACAATTTTTTATCCAGAGTCTTAGATAACTCGCTGATGATTTTCAGTCTATTTTTGAAAACTCAAAATCAATGACCTTTTTGCCCTGTTTAGCGCAGAGGTAATGCTTTTGTTCCAGAATACACACTAATGAGGGACTGTGTGCTGCTTGTATTTTTTGGCAATGCAACTATAAAAAACTCTGCTTTAAAGATCCAATCTGAGACCATCGTGTGTCTGCTTATCAATTAGGCTTTTTGTAATATTTTAAAACCTCCTGCTTTTTGGTCTTTGTGTTATTCCCAATTGAGCAATTATTTCAGTTAACTTTTTTGTTGTGAAAACGTTGCTTGATTTTTCGTTATATTTTGAGTTTTGGGATTCACTTTGAGCGTTATCAAAGTTTCATTAGCGCAAATATGATGAATATGGTAGATACAACATGGGTATGCCTTCAGACACCGATTGAAAATTACTCGATTTACAAATGTCAAAATATAAGATAAAAAGAATTGACTAGACAAACAATTTTCCAAAAACGAAGCTAAAGGGAACTTTTTTCAATTATAATCGCAAAACAAACATGCGATCACTTGGATATATAAAATTTAGATATAAAAAGCTTGGCATGTAATGAATTTAGTATACCAGTTTAGATTTTAAAAAAAGTCACAGAAATTTACATTGTATATTCATACAAAATTAGAGACAACACTTCAGCCAGTTGTTCTGTTGGAAAATGAGTGCTCAAATCAAAATTGCAAACAAAAAACAAAATGCAACAGTTTTGTTTCAATGTTTGTTAATTTATGATACTTTTAATTCGTCTAAATTTCTACACAAAAGTGATACAAACTAAAATCTACAAAAACAAACTCGAATTAGAACAGAAACAAATTGCAAAGATTTATGTTTTATTGTCTGATAACTCAATTTATAAAGACAGCAAAAAGCTGTTCAGGATCACCCATTCCAAAAATTGTTTTATTATTTCTCGAAAACTTCCCATTTATTTGGAGAAAAAAATTAATAGATGAACGCATTTACGCGCCATTTGCCTATTCATTTCGGATAGCTAGCTTGTTTTCCGTTTGGAAAATTAATCAAAACAGAACTCCAAAGAACACAAATTTCAATTCAGCAACATATAAATTTAGGCGTAAACAATTTAAGGTAATTCTTTCTCAACATTTGCGAAGAATTAAAGCTCCAATAACTTCACATTTAACAGCGATAAAACGGTAAAAAGCTCCAAAAAGGTTTACATATGTGAAATCAGGGGAAAAAGAGAAAATATGAAAGCTTTTGACTTGTGCCGATGTCAAATCCTCATCCTGGCAGTTGCAACTTTCATGTCTTTGTCTTTGCACCATGCTTGCTTATCAATCAGCAGAATTTTTTCAACAATATGGCAGATAAAAGAGAGGCTACCTTGAAATTTTGGCTTTACCTGATTCAATCCACCAACCTCGAGTTTTTCAGGTAATCGCATTTATGCCATGCATTACCGCTTGATAATCGTCAAACATTTGCCGCCATTATATAACAGATTCAACCAAGGCTAATTTTTCTTACCAATGCTGTGCCAGCAAACGCGCCATCAAATGGGGAGTTTTATTTGCGACTTAAATTAGAGAATTGGATTTTGTAATTTGGCACTAGCAGGACGTACGGTACCGGTTTCAAGTGGTACTAGTTCATAGCCAACTCTATCTAAGTGTCCTATTTTCAAGAGACCGCTCTATCATAGTAGTATGCTGCAGTTTCGAAATTATGTATGCTGCAGTTTCGAAGTTTGCGTAGGTTGTTTATTTGTTTGTTGTACATATAACAAAACCAAAACACAGGGGACACCCGGGTTCGAACCGAGGCCCTCTCATTCTGCAGTGGAACGCTCTACCACTGAGCTATATCCGAAACGCATGAAACAGAGCACAACGAAGCAAGCCAATGAATAACATTCAAATGAAATTCACTTCTAGCTTTGCCTAGTTCAAATTTGTAGAAAAAAGGAAAATTTAAACAAAAACTGATCACATTCAAGAATGGAATCGCATCAAAAACTGACTGGTAAGCTTTAGCTATCTGACTGCAAATGATTCCTTTAGGTTATTGTTCTGAATGTACCCATCTGTTGCGTCAAAATCAGAACCTTAACCAAAACATTAATTTGATTTTTTCTGCAAACATGAAAAATTCTGTTTTCAAACTCCAATTACAGACAATCGAGTGTCTAGTTTTTATTGTCTGCTGTTCCTGCAGCCAAATTTTCTGAAAGATTCAGGACTTAAACACAATTTAAGAATTGCTTTTTAACATTGCTGATCATGCAGGTAATGGAGTTCCTCTCCTCGCATTTCTGAAGAGATTTTTTTTCAAAGATTTTTTAACAATTACTATTGTTGGATCCGAATTGAGGATAATCATACAAGTAGTGTTAACGGCCACTAGTTCGAGAACCGGTGAAGTCTTATTGGAAATGTCCTGCATTGGTTCTTTCAAAGTTTTGGTCGTTTTTGTCTCGAATTCCTTGGGCCATGACTCCTACATGGGTTTTTGCACTAATGCATTTAGATCTGGGGTGGCCTTTTCCTAGACTTATTTCGGATAGAATATACCGTTTGTTTGTCACGCTATCTATTTTTCGCTGGATAAGTTCGTGCAACTCCTTAGTCCAATACGAATCTTAATCTTACTCTTATATTTCCCAGTCTCAGTATACTGGTTTATTGCAAAGTTACAAGAAGAAAGTAACTGATTTCAATCTTTATTATTAATTCTCTGAACCAATAGGGTTTCAGGATTACAAATATAGAGTAAGATTTAGTCATGGATCATGATTGGTTAGTAATTAATACTCTAAATAAAATAACTAGTTTCAACCTGGTTCCACTAAGTTGAACGTGGTTTCTAATATTCGCTAAGCTTTTGTATGCGTAACGACAGAGTTAGAAAATTGAATTTTTTTTACAGTTTTTTTTTCCAATTTAATGTTTTTGTGTGAAATTTTGTTTCCGCGGTTGATTTCTTCAAAATAGGCTTTAAAAAATTGATTGCTAATTTGTGTAGGTGAATAAACATTAGAAATTATTTTAATTGATACTTTTTTTGAAATTTTTTTTCAACTCTTAAATGGTTTTTTCACCATTGTGCATGAAAAATTGAAGGAATAAGCGGTTTTTTTGTTTCCGCGCTGCTCAAGAAAAATCATCAAAATTGAATTTATTTTGAATTTCCGCAAAGTTTTTGAGAATGGCTACCTTTGTTTTGCCTCCATTGTGCAAATTAATAATTATTTTTCAGCCATCCGACTGCATCTAAGTCATCTATCCTACTGTTCTTAACTTTTCCATGTTGCGTCAAAATCTAATTGTCAATCAAAAATATTGAATTCAATTTTTTTTCAATATTAACGCACGCAAACTAAACTACATCTATTCCAATTTACATTATATTATTTAGACCTTCAGTATTTTTCAATCAGTGTCAAGAAAGTTTCCCGATGATATGAATCGACTCTTGATTGAATGCACGGTCGTAACATTGTGTTGGAAATGATTAATCTGCTCTATTGTAATTCCAGGGCACAGACTCACGTCCAATTCAGTCAATTGATAAGCATACGCTTCTAGATAACCAACTGCACTGTCTGTAATGGCCATGCAATTTGTCAGGATGAGGGCTCTTAAAATCTTGAGATATTTCGAAATGAGTTTGACTCCGTCGTCCGTAACTGGCGTGTAGCTTAGGTTCAGCCTTTCGATCGATTTGCAGTGCATGCATAATACCTCAACTATAGAGTGGTACAAGTATGAAAGATGGGTTCCAACCAAAAATAAGTGAAAAAAGGCTTCTCTAACTTCATTTTTCAAAAAAAGACTTGCTTAATGCATAGAATCAGACTTAAATCTGCTTTTTAATCAAATCGATCTCTGAAAGAAATCGAAAGAGTTTTGCAACAGGTAATCAGATCCATCTATATTTTAGCCCAGCCTAAATTTTTGGAATCATCCAGGTTACGTCTATAACTGGTGGATTCATCTCAAATTTATGCATATAATTTTACTTGTTCATGAGATCTTCGTACTTTTTCCTCCCCAAAATTTCCGATCTCAAAAAATGAAATTTGAAAACAAAAATGTTTGAATCTAATTGGTTAAAAAAGATTGCATATCCAAAACATAGTGTGGACGGCGCGTTCAATATAGAAGGGACCCGTTTTAAACCAATTTTGGGCTGAGTACAGGGGCGGATCTAGGATTTTTTTGAGGGGGGCGGATTTTCAAAAATTTTTCGAAAATTTTGACGACCTTTTTTTTAGGTCGACCAAATTGATTTTCCGAGCTCTTCTAAAGCACTAAAAGGTCCCTGTTTTTGCCAAATTTTCTGCGCCGCAGGCAAATTTTTGAAAAAACAGGTCAAAAAAGCCGTTTTTAGGCACTTTTTGAAAAATTTTGACAAAAAAATCGCATTTTGCGCGCTCCCCCTCAAAGTTAGTATATATTGGCGCCAAAGGCGCCTTTAGAAAAATTTTAGGGTAGGTCGGCAAAAAATGGATTTCTTAAAAAGTACCAAAGGGGGGACCCTTTGGGTCGGCAGGGGGTCGAATCCCTGAGGGGGGGGGGGCGTCCGCCCACCCCCCCTAAATCCGCCCCTGGCTGAGTAGATAAAAAAACCTGTTTAGGTTACCCACCAGTCTAATATATGTTCTTGGGACCCATCTATCATTCTTGCATACCTGAAGCGTCTGTTATGTGTGTACACATGGAGAGGTTGAGTTGTTTGAGATTGGGCAGACGGAATGTGTGGATGATGGATAAGTCTGAGATGTTACTACAGGAGAACAAGTCCAGCTGTTCCAGTTTAGTCAGGCGTGAAATGTTTGTAGTGTTGTAGAGCGGACACGAATATGCACCTGAAAACACGAGGCGACAATGAGCATATATTTATACATTAGGCAACAGAAAGATCGAAAAAGTTCGAAAAGTATCAATGAACGCAAGAAAACCGAAAAAAAATGACAAAGAATTTAAATTGAACTGGAAAAGAAATCAAAATTCAAACCGCAAAAGATCAAATTTGCCGTAAACACATTTGCCGTAAGCCTTTTTCCTAGACAGCTATTAAATGTTTTCACTACGTTCATTGATACAAAAGAAAGATATGGTTTGCAGAAGCATTTACCTTCCAAACTGATAGATACTTAGGTTTATCATTGAACTCGTTATACAGCTGGTAAATGCTATCAGAACAACATTATAGGCTGGGAATCTAGCCCAGAAATATGACCCCTCAAATGTTGGAAAACAGTTTATTTTTCAATTTACTGACTTCAGAGAAGTTGGGCATGCGTTTTAGGACAAAGACAATAAGTAAACTGAAATTTGTCAAATGAACTTAAAATTTTATTAAATAATTCAAAATAAATTAAATATTTTGCTCGCTAAAGCTTGCTGGTGTAAAAAGGACGAACGCGTTTTGCGAACCCAAACTTTGGCATCTTTATATGAAAATTAGTGAATTAAAATTTGATTTTGTTAGAAAACACGATAGTGCGGCAAGGAATTTGGGTAATAAGACAGAGGCTAATGCATACAGTCAAAACAGCAATCTTAGGACAAACTCGAAAAATAGAACAAAAAAAGATGAGGCAAACATTAAAATCCATAAACATATATAGAATGCGTGTAATTTTTCATAATTTTTTCACCTTTCTCTTGTTGTTTTTGGAGTCCCAACGTGAAGTCACAGCTGCACTTGATCACATCCGAATCCACTTGGTCCCCTCCCTCTCCGTTGTTGTTCGCACCCAGCAGAAGATCATCTGTGATCGAATTCGTCCATGCGATCTACGAGAAAAAAATAACGCTAGTGTTCCAATTTGGTATTTTTCTGTTATACGGCCCAAAATTATAGAACGAACTGTTAATCAAGTTTCTGTTTTTTTATTGACAGCTTGGTTTTATTTTCGCTGATATTGAAGAAAAGAAGAAGTTGATTAGAAGAAATCAAAAAATCAGGCAGCAATTAAATGCTTAGAAAACTCATAACATTTGATCATTATTTTCAACCAATTTTTTTTATTATTAAATTCAAATAACCAAATTCAAGGGTTATGATCAAACTTTTCAAATAGCACAAACATCAGTATTTGGGCCCTATAAGAGCGAAAGCGCTGCAATTTTGGTCAACGTAACGAAAAAACAAAGCCAACAAGCGGAGGGGAAAGTTTTGAAATTTATTCTTTGATAGAACTTATTTGAAGGCCATTATTTTTGCATTAGAGCCAATGCAAAGTTCCTCATTCTACACAACTACATTTTCGTTTATAACGGTGCAACTTTTGCAGATTTCATTCACTGTTTACTGAAATAAAAAACGGAAAACACTAATAAGAAAGAACCTTCTATTGCGCATCGTCTCCTAGGATATTGAAAAATATATATATTAAACTTACATGTTTCTAAATTGATACGACTTAACAAAAACTAACCTTCAGAACTCTCAGTTCCGTGAGATAAGTGTAGATTGACACCATGGATTCTATGTTAATAGATGGCACTGTGCACATATTGAGAGTCTGGAGTTTGGGAGAGAAAGTGCAGAGGAGTGGAAATATCTGGTCTGAAATGACCCCGAAGTTCTCGATTTCCAGAGTTTCCAGATGAGGTAACCCTGGTGGTGTAGCACATAGATCAAGGAGATCCTGAAAAAAAAAAGAAATAATCAGTTAACAATTTAATTTTAAAACAATTCGCATAAAATGACAAATTAAAGAACCCCCCGAAAAGCACACCATAAAAATATTATAGCAGAAATTTCTGCTGAGTACCAATCTACCTCATACCCGAAACGCTTAAAACTTTTTTTTGATAAAACTGGATTAATGGGTATTGCTTCTTAATTAGCTTTTAAAGTGAAGTTCGATTATAACTTATTTTCAATCCGAGAAATAATTTTAGCTCGCATTTTGGTTTCGAAAATGAAACAAATGACATTTTGGTTCCACAAGATGTAAGAAAAAAAAACAGATATATTGTTGTAAATCTAAAGAATAAAAGAGTCTAAGTGTCAGATGTGTGTGTGTGTGTGGGGGGGCTTGATGGGTGAATGAGACAGGTACCTTCGAGTCTATCCTGTGACACTCTGACAGGTTCAGGTGTGTGATTGGGAGTGAGTTGAGAGAGGGCACACTCTTCCTGCCCACCACTGAGTTGCACTTGCTCATCAGTAGAATAGACAGGTGCTTGCAATTCTCCTCCAAGGTCACCAGAACCTAGAAGCAGTATACAGCAAGTGGCTAAATTTATGAACAGACAGAAATAAATAATGGGAAAAAGCTATTTATTTGTTGTCAAAAAAGTTCGTGCGATATAAAATCAAGTTGTTCACAGCTCATAAAAGCCTGACTGACTGAGTTTCTTTCGAGTTCTGTAACTTACGGTTTTTAGTCCTAATTCCTTCAGACCAGCTTCTAGAAATATTCTAATTTACAACAACTTTTGATATTACAACAATTTACAACAACTTACATCATGTTTGAATTTTCAGATGAATGAGACAAACTCGAAAAGTAGCTTTTGCATGCAAGCGTTTTCTCCAAGAAATTATTTGCTCATTTTAATAAAATCTTACTTTTCGAACTTCTTTATAATTTCCATAGATCGGCTTTTATAAAATCTCTATTTATTGACAGTTGAAGTATTAAAGAACTCAACAAAAACGAGAAAACAGCCAACAGACAGTTGGAAAAGAGTCAAGGAACGCAAGTAAACAGAAAAAAATTGCAACTTTTGAATTTCAAAGCAGAATTAGATGCTCTTAAAGCTTTTTGAATTTCTAGAACAATTTATGATTGAAATTTTTTTGATAAAACTAACCCAATTTTCAAATTTGAAATCTATCACGTTTTTTTGTGACCTTTACGCTTTCGCTGTTAGATAGTGGAGTTTGCATTCCTTTTAAGCCAAGACAAATTTCCTGAAAAAATCTTTAAAAAATTATCGCGACCTATATAAGCGTCTGAACTACGTTCATTGACTCTTTAACATAAAGTCAAAGCCTTTGCAATTTCAAGAACCTTTCATGATTAACACTGTTTTGATTAAACCAATCCAATTTGATATATTTGGGACGTTAGGTAATATTTATTTCCCTATTAATTATTATTATCTATTCGATTTTAAAAGTGAAGCATGCTTTTTCACACTATTTTGCTCATTTTATTTCAAAGCAACTAAAACATATAACACAAATTGAATTAATACTTTTTTATCACGACGTTCAAAAGGAAATTGTTTGAATAACGAATCTATTTCAAATTACAGTTCACTGTTCACTATTTCTATCCTAGTACCACTGTGAGCACATTTAGTAGGTTTAAAGTTTCGTATGACATCAATAATAGCACAGATTGGTTTGGTCATCTTGAGCAATAAAATGTTTATTCTTTATTTCATTTTTTTTTCAAATGCAAATTTTTGTCTACTTGTCGGAGCAAGTTTTTTTTGGTGCAAAGTGATTTTACGCGAGAAATAAAACCATTGATTCCAAAGTTCCCTCCCACTTTAAGGCCGTAATAAGAACTGACGTTTACCTTGGCAGTGATTTCCTTGAGCTGTGAGATGTTGATCTTCTCCAGGGCGGTTTGAGTCTTGACTAGTTGAATAACTCCCTTGTCAGTTACATCTCTGCATGCGAACAGTGACAGACGAAGGAGGTTAAGAGAGTCTATTTGGGAGAGGTCAACTAGCATAGTGTCTGTGACATTTGAGAAGTCGAGGGTCAAATCAGTAAGTAGCTCTCTTCTATTTCTAAGAAAAACAAAGCAAAAAGTTGGAAAATATATCTAATATTGCTCTTGCAGATCCAAACTTCAATTGCTTTCCGCAATTAAAAAAAAACAAATTTTGTGCTTATAGTTAACTGTGACAAAACTTAAGATTCGCGGTAACGCAATCATAATTATCTGAAATTAATCATCCAAAAAGAGGGAAAAACGTTTCGAAAAAGAGAAAAATGTCTTATAATGACTTGTTTATACTGGTTGGTTGATATAATTACACTCACTGGCAGGCGGCATCGACATCTCATTAAGATGTTTTTCGAACTAATTGATTGATTGATCAATGAGGGGACTAAAAAATCTGCAGTAGAAGTGAAAAACTAATGGCGGGTTTACCGGGTACAAATAACAGAAGCATTGAGTGTACACAGACCAGCCAAAACATAAATAAACTGATAACGAACGAGTAAACAAACCAGCCGAAAGTTACATAGCTTGTTAAAATTTGCATGATTTTTCCAACTGCGACATGATTAGTATGCACGGAGGTTCTCACCACTTGCGAAACCACACAAACATAGCATTGTAGGCTGGCGGGACCAAAATTGAACAGAAGCCATCAAGTCAAAAACTACAAAAACTTCATTCAATTTTCTCGAATAATGTCCGATTTGAGAAAAACATATAGAGAAGCACAATCCTCAGCGTTAAAAAGACATTCGAAAATTGATCTAGCGGTTAACTTAATCGACAAGATTTGGGTAGACGCCGGTTGAACCAAAAACAATGTTGCCATGGCAAATTTTGAAACTCCCCTATCGGGAAACGCAAGAGGATAAAAACCTGTTTTCTTTCAAACAACGCAATATTAGTTGATTAAGTCTATTTAACATGAACCAAACCGACTTAAGCCGAATAAATCTTTCAAGCAAAATTATATAACAATTACAAATTACTAGAATAAATCAGAATTACTTTTAATTGTAGTTTTTGCTTAATTCACAAAAAAAGTCAGCACTTTGGCAACTGAGCTGACAAAATAAACCGAAACGATAAACTGACAAAAACAGCTCCTAGTCGGATTTGAACTCTGTCATGAGGAACTTTGTCGTCCCAGAGATAGACGTTACCGCCGCTAAACGAAGTGTGACAGAGAACTTTGGAAATTAGGAGTTATTCGAAATGATGCAATTAAGTTAGACAAGTTGTTTGCATGAAAAAAATTAGTCTGTTCCGATTTGATAACACTTGCTCAATGCAAGAGTATAAGAATATAGTTGATAGGCAACTTCAGCAGGGCTTTGTTCCGATTATTGAAAATGTGGAGGCACTTTGCATACGGGTGTGTTTTATACGGGGTTTCCGCGCCAAATCAGGAATCAAAAATTACCATCGGAATGGTCCCAGTAAAATATCATATTGAAACCCTTTCAGTCGGTAATTCGAATTTTTAAAAGAGATAAGTTCAGGGGCGGATCTAGGATTTTCTCGAGGGGGGGGGGGGGGGGGCAAATTTTCGAAAAATTTTGACGACCTTTTTTTTAGGTCGACCAAATTGATCTCTCCTAAAGCACTGAAAAGACGCTGTTTTGGCCAAACTTTTCTTTAAAAAAGATTTTCTTTAAAAAAATAATCTATTGTGCAACATAAGAACAATTTCAAAATTTTTCTCAAAATTTTTTTGTTTGTTATTCATTTTTTGAAGACAATTAATTTATTGAGCAATATAAGAACAATTTTTAAATTTTTCTAAAAATTTTTTTTTGTTTTTTGTTATTCTTACTTTCTATGTGTTTGTATAGTTCTCTAATCACACCACACGCTAAAAACGAAGCTAACTTTAAAAAAAAGTTCGCAGTTTTTTTTGAATATGATCGGATCTATGTACTACTTGCACAACTACCGGCTATACTTGTTGTTACATAATTGGACATAATTGTTCACATACCAGAGAATGATTCAGAAAAACATGAAACTCACGTGATGAAGTTCTTCAAAGAGGAGAAGCAGAGAAGACTCCCTTTAGTCATGTTTTCCAAGTGATAGGCCAGTTTGATACTCCTCAACGAGATACGGCCCAGAGTTGATACACCTGAAAAATGATCTAATTCAACTGAGCCAATGCACAAGATTAAGCAGCGTAAATGCACAAGATCGAGCCCTTTAAACTGCCGATAGGAAAAAAAGAGGCCGAAATGAAAAATTTCAAAAATTAATTTGATTTTACACACAGAGGCAAAGCGAAGCTACGCGACATTTGCGACACCACATAAAAACAGCATTGCAACCTAGCAGACAGGAGAAAAAGATAGCCACTACGTCCAAAAAATGGAGAAACAAAAATCGAAAAACCGCAAGAAAAACTTCAAGATTTTGTGTGGAATGATGTTCTTTCTGCGGAAATTTCGTCCAGAAACACATTCGACTGCTTTAAACTAAAATTCGAAAACATTTATTGAGCGGCAACTGATCCGACAACTATAATTTCTATTCAAAGACTTTTAGCAAGTTGTGCAATTCAGAGGGGAGCATAAAAATTATTTTTCCTTTGAAACTACTCAAAATTAGTTCACTAAGCCGATAAAATGTAAGCCGAAATCATTGGGGCAAAAAAACTTAAGTGAAAAAAAAAGAAAACACAAGAAATCAAGGTTAGGAAAATGCAAACAGCAGAGGTAAAATCAAAACACTAGAAGCAACTTCAATTTAAATTGCGTGCAACAGAAAACACAAATCTACGATAGGGCAACTAAGACGACAAAACTTAAGGAGACAAATCATAAGCAGACAACTGTTTTGAATCGGAATATTTACCGTTTGAAAAAAAGGACCTGTATGATTCGGACCCAGAACCTTTGCCGTCCCAAGCATATTCGTTAACTCTAGCCAAAGTGTTAATGAGACAGAAAAAATCGAATTCATCGTGAACTGAATCTAAACTTACCATGTCTAATTTAACCATTCTGTGAAAAGTCATTTACGAAAAAAAATTTAGTACAAGATTGAAATACCCTTGCTTATCGCAAGGGTAATAAACAACTAAAATTTCAGGTATGTGATGATTCGAAACAACTTGCCTGCAGTGTTAAAGAGGGCGGAGAAGTTGTCGTCATTGAGGTATGACACATTCACAACCTCCACGGTCCTCATCCTACTCCAGTTGCAAGTCAGAGTCGACATCAGATGCTCGTCCGAGGAAGTCAACTAGCACAAAAGACAACAAACAAATTGCAAAGCAGTGAAAATGCGAATATTCGGGCCTCTTCTGTTATTCAGTCCAAAACTGATCTTTTTCATATTTTGGAAACTGTATCCTATTGCTCGACTCTGATTGGTTGAAATTAGTTTCTCTAATAAAATCAGGATCATCAATAAAAACAGAAACTTAATTAACAATTTATCATAGCCAACAGACAGTTGGAAAAGAAACAATGAGTCAATTTTGGACCGTATAACAGAAAAGACCCAGCGATTCTTGTACAAACAAAAGAAGAAGCTCATGATTGCTCTATTTATGCCACTACACTGGCTATGGCCAGCAAAAGTGTCCAACCTGTCCAGTCATGAAGAGAGTGTTGCAGCCATTAATGGTGAGTGACTCCAGCTGGGAGAATATTTGGACTATGGAGAGGAAAGTGGCGAATGTGATTGGACAGTTCTCCAACACCAGCTGTCTCATGTAATGACCATCTCCCTCTCTCAACCCACTCAGCTGCATGCCCCACTGACTGTTGTCTACATTTACCACGTGCAGATGTCTGCAAATCAAAACAAGGATAGTCAGTCGCTGTAGAAGTAGCACAGCAAAAATATTATTTCCGACCAAAATAAAAGGAGAAAAACTTTTAAAAAAACAATGTTTTTTTTTTCAAATTGTGTGGTTCTTTGCTCATCGTGTTAAGAGAGGATCTGAACAAAAACCTAGAAATTAGGCATCATATAGTTCAATAGTATCTTAGAAATATTCGACAACAGTTTTTCTAAAAAAAATGAAAAACGAATAAATTTAAAAAAAAATTTAGAGGCGCTTAGAGAAACTTAGGAAGTTTTCACGACTTAAATAAAAAGATTATCACGCTAGCATGATAATGCTCGCTCGCTGTTTTGCTCAAAATCAAAATAAAATCACAAAAGCTAAAAGCCCGCTATTCTCGACACCAAGAAAACTTACTGGAAATTTTTTAACGTCATTCGAATCATGATTGAAAGGGTTTTAGTACAATATATCACTCAATCTCTTGTAATTAATACTTGTGGTACCTGGTTTTGAGTTAAACAAGTACAAAAACCCTAAAACACAACAGAAGTGCCTCCCCTCTTTTAGTGGTCGCATTAAAAACTCATCTTTCAACTACAATGTAACAGTATAGGATGGCCATTTTCACTAGCAATTTTCATTAAACAAAAAAAAGAGTAGATGAATAAGAAAATCCAGCAAAAAAAAATTAAATACAACAATTTAACTGAAAAACAATTTAAATTGTAAAGACATTAAATTGTTTTTTCCCCGCTTGCAAGCGCTCATTTGTGAGTAATTTATTTTGAAGTATTTTCCTCTCAGAAAAAAAACACGAAGTGAAAAATAAGACAGATAAAATTTGAAAAAAATAGCTTAAACTGTCCAAAATATGTTTAATTTGCTCATCGGTCGTAATTCGATCGACATTTTGAAAAGTATTCTCAGCGTCGAGAAAAACGGTCCGAATATTTCTGGTAGTCACGCGAATTAGCAGCAAAGAAAACACTGAATAATTTCTCCAGGAGAATGGTTGTAGTAAAAATGATTGACCCAAGACAACAGTTTTTCAACAGCATAGGATGGCCATTTTCACAAGCAATTTTCATTAAACAAAAAAAAGAGTAGATGAATAAGAAAATCCAGCAAAAAAAATTAAATACAACAATTTAACTGAAAAACAATTTAAATTGTAAAGAAATTAAATTGTTTTTTCCCCGCTTGCAAGCGCTCATTTGTGAGTAATTTATTTTGAAGTATTTTCCTCTCAGAAAAAAAACGACGTGAAAAATAAGACAGATAAAATTTGAAAAAATAGCTTAAACTGTCCAAAATATGTTTAATTTGCTCATCGGTCGTAATTCGATCGACATTTTGAAAAGTATTCTCAGCGTTGAGAAAAACGGTCCGAATATTTCTGGTAGTCACGCGAATTAGCAGCAAAGAAAACACTGAATAATTTCTCCGGTGAATGGTTGCAGTAAGAATGATTGACCCAAGCTTGAAAAATGCTTCACGATAACGGCTATTTGTTTTTTCCTGCGTCTTTTTGTAGAGCTCATTCAATAAATAAGAATGGTTGTAGTAAAAATGATTGACCCAAGACAACAGTTTTTCAACAGCATAGGATGGCCATTTTCACAAGCAATTTTCATTAAACAAAAAAAAGAGTAGATGAATAAGAAAATCCAGCAAAAAAAATTAAATACAACAATTTAACTGAAAAACAATTTAAATTGTAAAGAAATTAAATTGTTTTTTCCCCGCTTGCAAGCGCTCATTTGTGAGTAATTTATTTTGAAGTATTTTCCTCTCAGAAAAAAAACGACGTGAAAAATAAGACAGATAAAATTTGAAAAAATAGCTTAAACTGTCCAAAATATGTTTAATTTGCTCATCGGTCGTAATTCGATCGACATTTTGAAAAGTATTCTCAGCGTTGAGAAAAACGGTCCGAATATTTCTGGTAGTCACGCGAATTAGCAGCAAAGAAAACACTGAATAATTTCTCCGGTGAATGGTTGCAGTAAGAATGATTGACCCAAGCTTGAAAAATGCTTCACGATAACGGCTATTTGTTTTTTCCTGCGTCTTTTTGTAGAGCTCATTCAATAAATAAGATCTGTAACGAAGAAATGAAACTAAAAAATAAGTGAGCGAGTTAGACTTCTTTTCAATAAGATTGTCAAATTAGACTTATTTTGTATATATATTTTTGCTGGACAAAATAATACAATGTCCAGCAAAAAAAATTAAATTTAGAGAGTTATATCTGCCACGATAAAGAAATCTGTGCAAATGCTTATAGGTAGACATTTGATTGATTTTTTATGAGAGTAACTATCTTGTTTCATAATAAAAATAATCATGAAAAAAATCATTGTCGGTCTTCATGGTTTAAGTCTACACATTTCTTTCCATCTCAACAAAAACGGTTCAAACTGATGAAAAAAAAAGATCCGGACCTTCCAAATTGCTCTCAAATAGCACCTGTGAACAAGATCGTAGCCTTATCGCGACCATTCGAATCAGCGCTACTAAACTCGTATCTTCATATTAAATAAGCTCTGTAATGTGCCAAAATCGTTAGCGAATTTTTTTATTATTATTTTTATCATATAAAATGTACGAGAAAAGCCAAGCAAATTTTCAAATCTATATACAAAAATCAGGTTCACGATAACGTCAGTAAAAAAATTTTCCCAAAAATTTTGTCTGTTGGATCATCAGTGGCCCATAAACGAACCAAATTGGCTCCTTCTATGCCAAAATAACATATACAAGAACCAAAATATCAAAATTTGAGGAATCATTGTTTGTTATAGATAAAAACTTTTATACGATAAAAATGAAGATGATAAAAAATTTTCCAAAAAAAGTGCACAATGATTTCAAGTGAAACTAAACTTTTAATGAGTCTTTCACAAAAAACTATTTCTTAATAACTCCGGAAAACTCATTGCTACGTCTTTTTTTCGATCGCAAAGCGCGAAAGCTGTTATCAGTTTTCAGTTTTTTATTATTTTAAGAAAATATGGTAGGAAAAATATCCTATCAAGTCTGGGATATCTGTAAAATATCCGTCTCGTCGTATAATCGATTTTTGTGATTGCTGAATCGGGAAAAGCTTCGATAACGAAAAACTGCAACCAAGAAAAGATCTTGTCAAATCAAAACTCGATCAATGAAGGATTATTGGGCGCTCCTTCGTTTTACGCTGTACACCTGTGCATCATATTTTACAACTGACTCTTGTGTTGAACCGATCGTTAATTTTTAAACAACTGACTCGTATTGTTTTTTTATGAGGTGAGATTTACATGATAATGGCATGAGCCATCTTTTAACTAGCTTTTGTGGGGGGGGGGGGGGGGGGGCTACGTAAATTATCTTTAAAATAATTACTATTTCGCCGATCTCGAAATTTTTGTCGGGCAACCATAGCGCAATTACATATGAACAAAATCAATTTCAGCGAAAACTCTAAAATGGGCACTTTTTTCAATCTCCCGCCTCATAGGAGCATCAATTTTCTGATTTAAAGGGTGGTAAAAAAACAATTGACATTCAAAAGTTCGCAGCAGAAACTTGTAATATGAAACAAAGTTTTTGTTGTAAAAATGGATTGACGATGATGGGCTCTGGGGGAAGAGCACGGTTAGTAAAAGCAGTCACCACAAGGTGAAAAAGTTCAAACATTTGTGATTAAACTGGCTAGCAGGTGCTGCGACTAGTTTTCAGATCAGCTGAACCTCAAAAATGTCGATACAGACGTTAAAGGTACCTGCGCTGATTAACATGAGCGTCGATTAGCATGTCCCATATTAAAAATCAGCTGATTCGTTGGCTATTTCAAAATTGTTTGCTCAATTTTGTTTCCTTCCTCAAATAGCGATCGTTTTTCCGCATTCGAATGAATTTTAAATTAAATGAAAACAGCAGGCATATTCCAAAACAAAGTAACGCGGACTTACATGAAACTTCCACAACACAGGAACAGAGTCGAATTCTCTCGAAGGCGGAAGAACGAAAAAAACAGCTCCTATAAAGAATCAGTTCATAAAAAATAAATGTTCTCATAAGCAGGCTCATCAAGCAAGATAACTTCCAATTATTGCAAATTATTCCATAGCGTGAACCGACTTCCAATTTCTTGCAAGCTTAGGAACCGATGAAACATTGAAATATATCACGTTCTTTTAGCGCGATTAGAATCGCAAAAACTTAGTATCAAGCAAATCCATCATATTTAAAGTTACTTCAGAGAGCATATCATCGATTCGCAGAATGCGTAAGTTTTTAAGAATTGTTTCTTAGTCAAGCAACTAAATCAAATACTTTCAAGTTATTTCAACGCACAAATATGTTTGCAAAAAATCGAAAGACCCAAAAACTTTTCTAAGCAAAGAAAAAACTTCAAAATATTTCAATTTGCTTCATAGCTTGAATGGGCTTCATAAACTAAATTATTCAACAAGCTCATCAATCAAAAAAATATTGAGAGGGAACAAGTTAATTCGTAGCGGAGAACAATCCGACAAATACCCAAGAAAGCTGATCAGGTGTAACTTATAGCAAAAAGATTAAGTTTTCAAGCAAGCTCATCAAGCGATGAAACTGTACGCGATAAAGTGTTAAAAGTTAAGTGTTAAAAGGCACCAATCGTTATTCCAGCGCATTTATCGATTCAATAAAGATAAGTGTTCGAGCAAGCCCATCAAGAGATAACTTTTTTGCGAAATTCCAAGTTACTTCATAGCGCGAACAAGTTCAAAAAGTAATCAACCGAGGAAACTTGGGATAATTTTACAGTTACCTCGAAGCACAAATATGTTCGCAAAAATTTAAGTATTCAAGCATCCTAATCGAGCGATGAAATTTTGAAGAGTTTAAAGTTATTGCATAGCACCAGTTGGTTTGCAACTACAAAGTTTTTCTAAATAAGCTCAACAGGGGATGAAACATGACTCGGTTCGCAAAAACTTAAGCTCTGAATCAAGCTCATGAATCGATGAAATTTTG